GGGGGGGGGGGGGGAGGGGCACAGAATCGCGATACAATTTCGCCGGACGCGCGCCATTACATTTGACTCGCGACTCGTGTGAATCGACAGGTAACGCGCCGCCGAAACCGCTTCTCACCGCTTCTATTTTAAGTACTGACAATATGCGTCTCTTTACCGACGCACGCGGTGACACAGCGGAGATACCGATCGGTCGTTAAAAATATATATCCGAAGGGAACGATTCTGCCTTCTCTCCGCTCGGAACCGCTCGTTTCTACGGACAGCTCCGTTGGGTCCGTTTCGAAATTCGTCGCGATAAGCGATTCGTTCGCGCACTCTCCGAGCCGGAAATGAGGTTTCGCCGATTACTTTCACGCGCCGGGTTTACATCCTCCGGATAGAAGTTGTCCCACTTGAGCGGCAAATGGTTAAGGACCGGGCTCGGCGAAAACGGAAGCGAACGTCGGGAATTCACGCCACGTCGTGTTACATAATCGCACGCGGCCGAAAAAGCGAATTCGCAAACAATCGCGCCTGACGCAATCGACCAATCGGAGAGATTCGTCCACCAGTCCCGACTTCGCCCGCCGATCTGCACTGTACGCTCAATGACGACCTGCGAATGATCGCCTGTCTCTCCTCTTTCTCTCTCATTCTCCCTCGAGAAATTCGCGTGCACTCGCGTCGGGCTAATTGAGATTTTCCACGTGCACGCGAGCGGCCGGAGGCGACGCTTGAGCGAGCGCCGCTCCGATAATTACCCGGTGTTTCTCTTTATTATCGCATCGGCCGGTTCTATTTTCCGAAATAGAAATTCCCGGCGTGTGACTGCGATGCCTTGTGTAACACTTTGCTCTCTACCGCAGATCTGCACGCATATCAATGGGAGTGAGTGTCCATTGAAGAAATTTTCACTCTCAACTGCTCCGAGACTCCGTGCCGAAAACTTGGAGTCGAAAGTGCTCGTATTTTTAAACGGGGAGATACGCGCGCGCTGCTAATACCGAAAGTCTCTTTCGGAAATTATTCAAAACGAACACTCAATACAAGCCTATATGTACCGAGAGGATATTTCCGAATATAGTGTGTTATCGCGGACGAGTAATTTTACGAAATATGAGTGAAAGGGAAAATATCCTCAGAGAGGGATTTTCCTTTAATTTGTTTTACCTTTGAGCATCGTCGTTCTTCTCCTCGATATTCAGCCTCTCCATCTCCTTCTGCAGGCTACTCTCCACGAACTTATCCAGAGACATGTTTACGCGTTAATAACTTCTCTCTCTCTTTCTCTATCTCTCTCTCTCTCTCTCTCTCTATCGCAGAATTCGTCACACAAAACGCGGAGAGACTACACGCGCTCCCGTCTCACGGTCTCTCTCTCTCTTCGCCCTCGCCCTCTCTTTCTTTATATATATATATTTAATATATATAATATATATATTTATATATATATATGTATTTCTCTTTTCTCTCTCTGTTAAATATCCTTTTATTAAACTGCTTTGGTCGACCGCGAGCTGCCGACTGAGGTAGACTTTAAACACTGGCACTAAAACACTGGCTGGTCTCCCGCGCTATACCGAAGCGGAGAGAGAGGGAAGGAAGACTAGCGGGAAAAAAAGGTACTCGACACCTTCTTCGCCCTACGCCCTCTTCGAGATCCGTCCCAAAATAAGGAACACGTCGCGCGTCTCGAGACGAAACGATACTCCGATGTTTCGGCGACTACTACGAGAGACGTCGGTGTGTGTTCTCTCTCTCCTCTCTCGTTTACGACGCGCGCACTTCCTCGCTTTCTCTCTCTCTTCCTCTCGTTCTCCCCCTCTCTCTTGCTCTTTCTCCCTCTCTCTATCTCTATCTCTCTCTCTCTTCTCTTCAGTTCTCTTCCGTTTTCTGCTTCCTTCCGTTCCGCGTGTACTCCCTCTTTCAAGCACGCCGTTCCCTCCTTCTTGGGTGATGTTGTGACGACACCCGCGATTTACGTCACAGGGCAATGACGATTATATCGAATCGGCGGCGACAACGAAGCAGCAGCGGCGATGGCGACGATGACGAGCGCGCGACCGATGGCGACGATGAGAACAACGCACGCTTGGTCCAACTCTCGTCCACTCGCACACTCGGAGGAAAAGGCGCCCGCGTGTCGTTCACAGTACGACAGTCGAAAGGAAACTCGTGCGGGTGGTAAAGGACTATGCTTTCCCGTCTCGTCTCTCCGATGCCTAGCTTTCTAGCTCCCCTCTCCCTACCCTCCTTCGCTCTATCCGCGTCCCTCTGTCCCACCTCCCCGCACGCACCGCGCGCGCGTCCGCTTCCTGCGTCTTTCTCTCTCTAGGCGCTACCCTCTCTCGTTCTCTTCCACTCACTTTCCCTTTCCCCCTCGTTTTGGGCCGCCGTAGGAATCCCCTCGACGTATCGGAGCGGCTCGCGCTTTTTTACCAACCGAGCGGGCTAGACCGGGCCCGACGCGATTGGCCGTTCACCGGGACGATTCCGGGACGATTTTGCGAGAGCGCACGGTTCGATCGGCGAACTTCGATGACGACGACGACGACGGGGAGGTGGAGGACGAGCGACCGTCGTCGTTCTCGGACCGACGAACGGGAAAACGCGCACACAGCGGCGACACACCGCGCGTTCCTCTCCGCCACGCACGTGGATCAATCGCGGGGGTGGTCGCGTGAGAGGCGCGAGACTGCCAAACTCGGCACCGGTTACGCCGATTACGCCGATACGAATGGCGCCGCTCCGGTATCTGGTATCCGGCTTAGGAGTTCACGCAGTACCACGCTGTCAATGGCGCCGCCGGTCGGTACGTGGGGGTGCCCCTCTCTGCCTCCCCCTCTCTCGGTCTCCTTCCCCACCCCGCGCCTCTTCTCTCTTCTCCGTTCTCGCCGGAGCGAGATTCGATCGCGAGCTGGTTCGCGATCGTGACGATCAATGAGCTGCTGCTGGAGGAGGTGGAGGCGGCGGAGGATGCGGATACTCGGCGCTCTCTCGTTCTCTCGCGGCCGGAAGCGACACGCGTGCCACCGCGAGAGGAATCGGGGATTCGCGGACGTGTATCGGCCAGAATATCCAGCGAAAAAGCACGCCGGCCACACCGATATTATTTTTATAACACGCGCTGTGCGCGACCCCGCATAGGCCGCGCCCAGTCTTCCCCACTGCGAGTCACGTCGGCTTCCCACTACGACCTCGACTACCCCTCCACGTGACGGCTCACCCCGCCACGGAGACGCGTAGTAGCTCGTAGAGGAGGCGACTTACGACGCGTGCGTGAGGGAAGAATGTGCACGCTATCGCCTCTCTCTCTCTCTCTCTCTGGGCACCGGGAAGGTTCTCTCCTCGGAAAAGCGCGCGGGGGTTATATTCTTGTATTGTTTTTCCTCTTCTTTGTTCCAGCATGAGAAAGTTCAGCGGGGTCGCTCGCACTCGAAGCAAACGAGCAGGATCGAATTAGGCGAGTTACGATTCGCGTTGCGACGGATTATCAGGGTCTCTCAGATATAACTTGGGTTTATTTCGGGACGTGGAATGGTTGCTTCTTGCGTGGATTTTTATCGAAGGCGTACAGATAATGTGCATGTCGGCCATTGTGTTGTTTTCTTTGCGCACTGAAATGGAAGATAAGGTACTTATGTTGTACACGTGGTGGGATATGAAAGGAATATTTTAGGAACTGCCGGGCCGGACCGGTCAGTTCTGACCGTTGCGAATGGTAACCGGACCCTTTTGGACGATAAACAGTGGAAAAAAGTTTACTATAGACGTCCATCGATCATCCACTACGCGATAATGCTGACGTTCACGTATCCGACTTACTCATCAAATATCGCGTTCAAATGATTATCAGTTATTGATAGCAATGCAACACGCTCTCGTGAAGATTTGCGTTTCTGAAACTTCTACGAAACTAAAAAAGAATCGTGGTTTTATTGCCTCCAAGCCGAAGCCGCTTTCTGATGAACAGTGCAAAATTAAAGGAAATAGAAAGAGGTGTCTAATATTTTAATGACTGCAATACACGCATATTGAGCGGTATTTATATTTATCTGATCTTAAATTTAATTTCGCCTCAAAGGGCATATATATTTCCTCCTAAAATACCGAACTTCAAAAAATAGGACGATATTCTGAAAAGTCACAATCCTGAAAATTGAGTAGCCGATCAATGTTTCGAAATATCGGAAGAAGATAAAATTGATAGACACGCACTGTCTCGGAAATAACACACCGAAATGTAAAAAGTAGGACAATCTCCCCTGAAAAGTCGTTCGGGACGATACCGTGTCCTCCATAAAGTTGCTTTGTCAAGTTTTTAACTTCTTCCAATATTTCAGAGGAGTCGCAATATTCAGTTATCGAGGTTGTGATTTTTCGGAATGTTATTCCACCTCTCAAATTTCGGGATTACGCATGTTCACCGTTTTGAAATTCACCTCAAGATGCCAGCCGGTAAAACGATCCTTTGGCATTTCGTGAGAGATTTATGATCTTAAGCGTAAGATCGAACTATAGAATAGTGCTCATTAATTTTACACAAATTTGTGTAAAAAAGAATGTGGCTACGTATGAAAACGGAGAGAATGAACTGGTCGATACGTGTACAAATAAAGGAATCGAATCGATCGTACTCGCCGATAAATTCGGTCTCAGCGAGATGTTGGCCGAGTAATCGAGGTCGATACGCGTCACAGCCGGATAGCGCGAGGTACCGAACGACGCGCGCGTCATTGACCGCGGGCGGAGGCGCCAACCGGTGTACACGAACAGATACTAAGGTGCAGGACCGCGGTACTATGATCGAGAGTGATTTCCGAAGGGAAAGGAGGAAAGAAATATCAGCCACTAATGAAACTCCCCATTCCGGAAACCGAAGAATCTCTGTCGCGTGCCTGACGGGGTTGTTTCTCCCGCGCGCGTAAATAATCCCGAATCGCCGGAGATTCAATGGCAACTTGAATTTTGATTCGCCAAATTTAGCGGGGCACACAATATCGCGCGCTCTTTGATCGTCGACTTGGCTTGAAGCACCCTTTCGACCCGATCGACTCTGCGGCCCCGGCAGGGGGTCGCGTATTCCTACTACCGGGTGACTTCGAGTGCTGTCATCCATTGTTCCACGAAATGGATGTTCGAGTCATTAATGCCGGAACCGCTGCCGCTAGCGGCGACTACACAGTCAAGCCCGAGATAGGTCTCTCTCTTTCTCTCTCTCGAGTTTTGGAAATCGGCCGAACGCGAGTTGCGAGCCGGGATTACCGGGGGGAAGGGTCCCCTCTCTCGCCGAGGGTTGATTCCGTTACGGAGGTCTCTTTGTTCGTCCAGGTAGAGAGAGGTAGGAAGGATTCGTCCTCTCTTTTGTGCGCGCCCGCAGGTATATAGGTGCAGGTCGGCGGGTATTCCTGTCGTTCCTGCGATCCGCCGGTCATTATCTTCGCCAATGACGAGGGTGTTATCCTTGAAGTAGATTTATTATTCATGGTAGTGGTGCGTGCGTGTACGTGTGTGCGCGCAACGCGCAGCTGGTGACGACCGGGCGAGCGTATTCTGTTACTTCCTCCCTCGTAGTTTCGCCGGTACTTGCGGTATAGTAACTAAGTCACGCGGACGATGCATCGCAAATTTAGTCCTAGGTTTTCTCGTACGCTTCAATGAATCCTTCTCTCTCTCTCTCTTTCTCTCCCTTTCTCTCGAGAATAAGCGAGATCGCCGAAAATAACGTAACCTGCGCGACGCGGTCGCGTCGTCGTTTGGTGACTTTCGAGGCTCATCGAAACGACAATAATTCTAGGGTGCCTTCTGGACGGTTTAACCTGAATGCTACACCTGTGCGCGAAGCGTATCCTCAAGATGGGAAGGAAAGGAATAACAAACACAAATTGTCGGAGGCACGGCAGAGACTTAAATTAATTGAATCGAATTCCTTTCTTCGCGATAAAGATTTTAGAATATTCTCGAAAAAAAGAATAAATTCTTCTCTTGAGTACATGATGATAAGCTTTTTTAAAATTTGTCACGAGTACGTTTGAAGACCACTATCAAGAAAATATTCTTCGCTCGAGATTTATTATCTGAGAGAAGAAAAATAAACCGAATAATCACTTTTCTTAACAATAGTAGAACGATATTTTTGTCTGTGTTCACTTAGCAGACAATAGATTCTCCGGCTTTTTAAATTACGTAAACGAAAGTTCGATCGGTAAATCCCGCTCGACACGCAACAATGAAACACGACGATGAGCATGTATTATCGCGCCTCTCGAATCGACGCGATGTTAAGCTTGCTCGAAGGCAGAAGAGGGAAACAGAGCGGGGGAAAGAAAGAGAGAGTAGACACCTTTTTTAATGTCCTTTGTCTCCCCTGTCCATGAGTCTCTTCTGTACCACGTGTTGGCGCGTGTTTCGCAAGCGTACCGTAAGCCACCGCGCGTATATCGACCACCTTGTCCCGATCAACTAATTTCGCTGAATGGCCAATCGATTATCCCCTCGGCCGAGCGTAAATCCACGATGGCTCCCCAGAAAGCAAGCGTCTTCCGGCGTTCGCGATTTCTCTCAGTTTTAGCGTCGCTTTGTAAAAAGGAAAAATAACGAGAAATTATATCCGCGCGTCGCGGAAATTCTCCCAATTACAAGATCGTCCGATATATCGGGGATCGAAGAATGATATCTTGATTCGATCGTGTCACGATTGCACCGATTGTAATTGCAACCTGCAAATTAAGGGAAGGAGGGGGGGAAGGAGGGAGATTTATCTGTTTCGCCAGCAGCGCGACAAGTAAAATTCCTGACTCGGTTACCGGGAAATGCATACCGGCTCCTTTGTTCCTCGCGGTAATTTGAACGGGGTTGGGATAGGTTCAGGTAACGTTTAAGGATAATTAATAGTTGCACGGCTCGTAAATACCGCTATCAATGGAGCGTGCGGCAGGAGTGCGCGTGGGATCGGCAAATGGTTTCCGGGCGCATAAAAATTAATGGATTTCGGACTGGCCTTCGGCAGGACTCTTCGATTTCGACAGGACTGCTCAAGGTCGATCGTCCGGCGGATGTAAATGAAAGGGAAGCGTTCTGTGTGCGTGCACGCGCACGTGCGTGAGTGCGCTCTCGCGCGCGCATCACGCTCGAAGCCGGTCTCTAACGTATCCCTAACGTTCGATTGCTTCCTCGCGCGTTTTCAATAAACACCACGATAACCTGCGGTTTATCCCGAAGGACACAAAGCGAAGACGCTGATACTTCATTAACACAAATACATCAATCTCTCTCTTTTCCTCCTTCGATCGATACGTGATAATTAACTTTCCGGCGGGTGCGCTATTCACGATTTAACACAAAACTGTTTACCGTGTAGTTTTCCTATATAAATGTGCGTATTTTCATTATTATTATTTACAAACCATCTAAATTAGATTTAGAATATTAGGTGTTTTACGATAAAACATCTAAGCCCTTTAAAAAATCCTCAATATTCCACGATGTATTTTTATACGACGCACCCGCTTTCGTAAAAGTGACGCGCCCGCAAGGAGGACTCGGACCCGAGAACGTCGAAGTAAAGAAGAGGGGAATTCCTCTAAAAATACGAAAATGTAAAGAAAGTGAAAAGGGAAACGTTTTACTTCTTCAGAAACATACGTGAGTTTCGACTGATCGCGACATTAATTATAATAATTACCAATTAAAGAACGTTTATAAGCTGGCCGGATCGAGATTCTCTGCAGGTCGGTTTTGCTTTTCGCCCCCGAAGAGTTAATCTGTCTAACATCGGCGATTGAATTTCCTGCGGTTAGGACGCCGGTCTCCACGTGACTTCGTGATAGCGCACGGTGCTTTAATAATTGGAACGGACTCGGTGGAGAGAAGACGAGGGGAGGTAGGTTTTAGCCTCTTCGGATGGATCGGCGTAAGCATGTCGGAGCGACCTGGATATTTCATGCCTGGGGAGCTCCTCCGGGGAAGAGAAAGAGCACGAAAGATGGGAAGAGATAGCGGCGGAGGGATGAAGGAGAAATATGGCGAGGAGAGATGGAGGAGACGGTGGAGGCAAAGAGGACGACGAAGGCAACGAGGGAGAGATGGCTCGGAGCGCGAGAGAGAAAGAGAGAGGGAGAGAGAGAGGCTGCGAGGGTGCGTGCGTAAGGGCGGCTCAGCCGCCGGAATCAATAGCGGCAGCACGCACCCTTGGAGAATTTTCGCGCCGAAGGACAGCTCCGGAAAGCACCTCCTCCGTTCTTCGGCCCGTCCTCGGCGAAACTCGAAGATCAGCGTGTGCCGCGCGTCCTCCGAGTGGCCGCATAGAAATTTCCCCCAGATTTTCCCATATATACAGTATAGCTTCCGATTAGAGTATCCAGAGTTGCCCCAAAATAGGTTATTTCGACCGCAGCTAAATTTATCAACTGTTCGAATTGAGGCGCTACAACGAAAAATATTAGCTAAATCGCATAACAGTATTAAAATCATTTTCACATTCCCGGCTAAGAAATTTACTGAAGAATTTTACTTTCTTTTTTTTTCAGCAGAAACTAGCTCTCGAAGAGTGTTGGTATATGACTGATTTTGTATGAAGTCTAGCCGTTTACTCGATTTATTGCTATACCGTATCCGAAAAACAGACTCGAGCGTTGATGAACGCGAAATGTCAGGATCAACCACTTCAGATGAATCAATCACCTTAGGTACCGCCTCATCGTTTTAATGTAAACGCATTTCGTATTGCTTATTTACGATACAATCCGAAAAAGAATCCAGTTAACCAACCTCAATTATTCACGCTAATAACTCCGGCTAATAAAGTACCTCGCATCGAACGCATTTTACCTCTAACAGTCGACTTTTAGCGAGGACAGCCAAGTTCGAACTAGCTAACGAGGTTTAGCTGCTATTGCTAAGTCATTTCTCCGAGTGTTAAAGATCGCGTGAATTCTCGACGATCCCGATGCTCTTTTCGCTTCGGCCCTCGGCATTCATCGGGAGGAAACATCATGAAACACTCCGCGGCGTTTATCGTATCTTCATCGTTCGCGGTGAGAATCACTCTCGGACTCGTCGAGCCGTGGGCACGCAAACGGGAGAGCAGGAGACGCAAAGAGGAGAAGGAGGAAGAGGAGGACGAGCGGGAGTAAGAGCTCTCGAAGTGAGGACTGAAAGTCCAGCGGGAGAGAGGGGAAGAAAAATCACTCACCTCCATCCGTTGCCGACCTGGTCGACCGGAGATTCTGGTAGGGCGGTGCCGCTACCCCTGCAAGCAGGAAAAGACATTCTATAGGATAAGCAGGGACGTAAGGACGCGAGGCTTCGGGGATGAGGCTATGGCGAAGCGTGGATCAAGAGGACCAAGTTTCCCGCGCTATTTGCCCTCACTCCTCGGACACCCACCATCCATCGTGGATGACGAACGTTAGTGTGCGCGCGATCGATGCGTTTGTGTGGGTGAATTTCAAGCTGCGGTGATGATCAGTGCGTGTGTGCGGCGTTTGTAAGTATAGCGATGAAGGATGCGGCGGATGAATGTAGCGTTGATGAATGCAGCGTGGATGTAACATAACGTACGATGCGAATAAAGGGATATTTGTTTAACGTGGGTCTCTTTAGTGCCGTCTCTCCCCGAAATGCTCGGATTCAAACATTTTCGGAAAACCTGCACGACACTGATGCGCGGACGGCAAAGCCGATATATAATCGATGATTTTGAAAGAGGACACGGCCTCTTTCACTCAGTGCGGTGCCAAGTTATTTCTCTCTTTCCCTCGCAACTGCGAGTGCGAGGAGCTCCTGGTTGTAACATATCGGGGATACAATTCACTTAAATAAATATACCACGAGCTGACGCGAGCCACGAGGACAGAGCTCGCTGTCGAGTCACGCTGAGTCTCGCGATAGGGAAAAAAAAGCCTCGCTCGCTTCTTCCCCAATTAACCGTCTCTCGCGACCTGCATATTAATCGCTGTGTATCATCTGACATCGTCGCTGTTGGCGGTGGCGGAAAGAGGGCGGGGGGGGGGGGGGCAAAAAGGAAGAGGAAAGAAAAAAATAAAAAAGAAAACGAGAAAAAA